TCAATCCGAAGGGCATTCGGGTAAATTTATATGTACCAAAAAGGGCAAACAAAAGCAGTCTTATTTTGATCTTCTTCAGCTACTCTCACCTGATGATAACCGGATCTCAAATCAATAGTTGACATATAAGGTGTCGGTTTTTGCTTCACTCAACAAATCATCTATACGTGGCAAAGGATAAGTGTCTGGAACGGTTTGAGCATTTAGGTTACGATAATCAATGCATAACCGTACTTTTCCATTTGCCTTGGGAATCAGAACCACAGGAGAGGCATAGGGGCTTTCACATTCTTTTATGATACCTTGTTTTAGAAGGGAATCAAGTTCCTTTTTCAACAGTTCTTTCTTACTTGGGCTCATCCGATATGGAGGGACTGAAACAGGGGGGCTGTTTCTTGTGTTAATATGGTGTTCAATGAATGGAGTGGCTTCTCCCCTACTTTTAATTAGACTACTTTTAATCTTAGACACTCTTTAATCTCCTACTCTTTAATTTTTCTTTACTCTTTAATCTCCTACTCTTTAATCTTAGACAATTTTATATTTGTTAAGCAATGCATCAGTTGCAAGCCGTTGGGCTGTAGTTAATTGTTGTCCTTCATTTTCTCGTAGTTGGCAGTTGTTTACAACAACTGGGGTTTCTTCCAGTACTTGGGATTGATGAGGTTTCACGAAGCTATATTTTCTTCGAGGTTCATCAGAAAAGTTCCACCTTTATTTTCAGCAAGATTTAAAACAATTTTTAGCTTTTTGAAGAAAGTCAGTTTCCTAACAGAGTCGAGTTATTTTTGGCATCAGGCAACACAAGGAGTTTTGAACTCTCTGCCTTCGAGAAGAATGATTTGTTCGGTGCGAAGTACCTCTTTTTCAGATACCAAACCATCAGCGAAAGACACCTGTAGTGTTGTCTTTTCAAATACTGCATCTTGTTTCTGCAGAATATGATAGAGGGATTCACTTGCGAATTGAGTGACTAGCACCAGTGTCGGCGAAAGCTGTACCGGAAACACCACCAATACTAATTGGAAATACAGCAGTCCGAGTGGAAGATAAACAGGATCGGATTTGGATAGTGCCAAAATTTGATGATTTGAAGTCTTTGGGGGGTTACAGTCTGGACATTTAGACTTGATAAAACCAGTTTTTCCGCACCCATATAGCATGTTAAAGGAGGTCGCGTTTTCCTCTGTTTGTTGCTGACCACGATTTGAAAAGGTTTTATGAGTTCCCTGTATGTCACTTGTTCGATTTTCTACTTTGTGTTTGGATGGATTAGTCGGTTTGTAAGAATAGTTCCGCCTGCCAGGAAGTTGAGTTTTATAGTTCGTATTTTTAACACGTACAGCTTCATAATCATCCAATTTCTATGTACTAATTCAGATGAACTCTTTATTTTTCCCCAAGTATCAATAAAATGCTCCTTAACGTCACTACTGACTCTTCTTTTAAACTGAACCGTCAGGGCCAAGTCTTTGAGTGATTTAAAGTCTGTAACATCGAGGCTATGTAGCCACTCTTCCGGATAACTGCTTAATTCATTACCAAAGTCTTTTCATAAGGACCCATGCTGTCTTTGGTGTGTAAGTCTAATTCGAAATGATTCAGCATTTAATTTGAATCTTTGGAGCAGAATCTTCTTGATGTATGAATAATCTTCTAATTTGTCCTTTGTTTTTCTTTTTGTTTTTTAAAATAATTTGTGAAATGTCAATAGGCAGAAGAGGAAGGAGATAAGTGATGTAATCTTTTTGTTTTACATTAACTTTCTCACATCGTTTTTAAAAAATTTGCAGGTACGTTGCAATGGCAGAAGTTCCTGTAACTTTAGGGTTTAGGTGTTGAATATTTTTTCAATAGCTGCATTTGAAGCAAAGGTGGCATAGTTAGGATTTGAGCTAGCAGCTGCCAGGTTTAATTCTAAACGTTCCAATTCTAACAGAAGTTCTTGTCTTTGGCATGTCTCTAGATCGTTGCTTTCACGGTCGTCTTGTTGTAATTTCGATTAAAGTTTCTAGAAGATTCCTGGTAAAAGCTTCATCATAAGTGTAAGATTTGACTATAAGATCTTTAAGGTCTATTACTCGCGTGGTATCGTTTACTGTGAAATCCACTTCTGTAGCAAGAGTATGTAAATCCTCTTTGCGCGCTTTGGCAAGGTAAGCCATAATTGTAGGAGGGGTCAATGAGAGGGGAAAAGATGAAGTTGAATTTGTTGTTATTTCGGTGGTATTCACAATAGAGTATTTTTACATTTACAGTATTTTCAAATTAATAATTATACCTTTAAGTAAAATGTGTATACCACTATTAAACAGCCTTTATAAATGTGTTACTCGCAAAATTATCATATCTAAACTATATAAATATAATAAAATACCCTTATAAATTCAAGTTGTATCCAGAAAATGACATAATAATTTGCTATAATATTTGTTTACTTCATAGCAAAACATACATAAATGTTATGGCTTTCGTCTATGGATGCCATTTTTGGTGGCGTGTGTTGTTGCTGTAGATATAACGATGATAGCTTGGCTCTGTAATATTAACATTTTTATTTAACACTAGAAAAATCTATATATTTTAACACACGTTTACTGATACACAGTCACAATGATTACAGTTCGCACGGTAAGCATTTTCCACATAGGTGAAACAACATGAAAGTGAAGCGGAAGAGAGTTGAGCGCGTGCTTCACCGACGGCAGCCAGGAACAGAGTAGTCAGTCCGAATTTTCCCTAGTGGATAAGGCTCCTCTAGGCTATATAGGAGCCTTACTAGTGGAGAAGAGGGAGAAAGCTGGTAGCGTCCTCTCTTAGGCCAGTGGACAAATAATAATAATAAAGAGTTCTCCACAATGTGCTATCATAAACTTTTATTTAAACTGAATTCTTCTAAATTTTAATCTTAAAAAACATTGAGCAATACACAACAGTAATTCTTTTACCTTAGTTAAACACCTCAGTTCTGTTTTATTCAAAACTATTTCCTTTCATTTTAAGAAATATATTTAAAGGCATTCATCAAAGGAAAATAATAGTATTTTCTTAAAGTACACTATAACCATTTGCTCAAAATATTCGTGAAAGATAAATCAACAAGTACAATATTTTATTTTACGTAGGATAAAACACTTATTGAATAGTAACAGCACTCAAAGGAAACGAAATAAAATATAATCAAAAGCCTGGACGTAAACACAGCATAAATCATCTCAAGTCTAATATTCCGCGTGGGGGGGATCTGCCCCTGTAAGTTAGAATCGGAACTAATAAATTCTAATGAGAAACGTCCGCGAATATATTCAAAACTTTATCATTAAAATGCAGTATTAATAAATCAGATTTCAGTAAGGAATTTACATTTGCTTTAAGAAGCGGCGCATAATAAATAATCAGTTTAAAAGAATTTTAAACTCATTAAAAACAATATAAAAAACTTATCTTTTTAACAATAATTTAAAAAGAAACGTATCTGCTTCTTTGAAAGTGTCCATTCGATGTGCTAGTAGCATGGTACGAGAATTTTACTTCGAGAATTAGTTTCAAAAATTATTTTAACGAACAGTCTACACCTAAAAACAGATTGAGCCGACCGTTGTTATCCCACGTGAGCATGGATCAAGGAAACAGAACATTTTCAAAATTCGTGATGTAACACTTCAAAATTGATTCTGGCACTTTTTCGATATCAAAATTGTGAAATTAAGTCCTTTAGTCTTTTTATCTTTTTTGATTGAGGAAGGCAGATTTTTTTTAACAATTCAACACTAAATTTAACTCTTTGCGGAACCCTCTTTTTGGTGATAATAATTCATCTTTGATGATGTGGAGATAAAGGCATTAAGCCTATGACCCTCGTAACTGAAACCTTCCTTGATCCTTGGTGGTGTTAGTGTGTTGACAAAAGCAGAAGCTAATAGAGTTAGTATTCCTGTGAATGGAAAAAAAATCAACTTCGGACAAAATGGAAATTTCTGAATATTTGACATTAGCCATCTTTTCCGCTGAAAGTCATTATTTTTTCCCCGTCATTTCCTCCCTCTAATTCATCCATTTTCTTCCTTTAGGTATAAGGCTCCTATATACCTAAAGGAGCCTTAGCTCCATCTTTCTTCCATTTTCCCTTTCTGTAAAAAGTATTTTTTTTTAATTCATTTTCAGTAGTGCTGTCTTAACAGCATTATGGGCTCCTATAAAAGCCAATGGACAAAGGCCTCTACGACAAAGACTCACAGAAATGAAACGCAAATTAAATGTAAGTAGATTAGCATGTGGCCTTCGTAGGGCCTCCTGTCCAAGTATCCAACATGACCCTGATTATCAGCCTGTATGTTTCCACTTCTTGAATAGGTCGAAATTTCGTATTTTTGAAGAAGCAAAAATTAGCATCAGCTCTGTTGCGAGCGACTGGTTCACATTTTTAGCTAAAACCTTTGTTTTCATTTGTATGCTTTCCACGTGATTCTTTTAATTTCAATGCTTTTTCCAGTGGTTTTTCTTACTTTCGTTAACTGGACTTCTATTTCAGATAGCTACCCATTAGTGACTAAACGATGAAAACCTTTGAAGAAGAAACCTCTGAATGAACTTTAAAATTAGGAAGAATTCAACTTTACATTCATGCTAGTTTTATTGATAAATAAAAATAAAATATCAGTAATAAAATTCGCTTTGTAGTTTGAGAGAATTCACACAAGTTTTTCTTTATTTAGAGTTAAAAATATTCTGTCATTGAATTCTTAAAATTGCTCTTCAGCTAAGTAATAAAAGGTAATAGAAAATGCAAGAAAACAAGGAAACTTACGAGGAATTCAAATTTATTTGGGGACACTCATTGCAAAAACTTATTTGTTCATAATTTTTTTCTGTTATATTTGGCTAACTACGAAACTCAATCCTGGATTTAACCTTTAGGAGAAAAAATAAAAGATTTCGCCTTGATTTTATTCTCCGTTGTTTATACGTGATTACGCAACTGTGATCAAACAGTTGGCAGCGGTGTTTAATTTTCATGTGGTGATTGTTGTTATTTTCTGTGAGAAAGTACAGACAACGTTATGTTGTAATGATTCTTTAATTGCTATTTAAAGAGGTTGTTTTTTTAATATGATTATAAAGAATTTGACATTTGTTTTGTTGTAGAGAAGGTATGTTATTTATTAAATAAATTATGAATATGTTGTATTATCCTCTCAGTTTATGTTTATGTAACATAGACGAGGTATTTTTTATATTTTGCTTTTGAAGCAGTTTAGTCTGTTTATTGTTCAAGTCTATATTTCATTTGTTCGAGTTATATTTTACCTCTGTAGTTTTAAGACTTTAATGTTGTAGAGTTTGTGAAAACTTAGTGAAACTGTCATCTGTCATTATCATTATCGTAAAGGAAAAAAATTGCAGCGAATCATGCTATATTGATCCAGAATTGTTTAATTTTTCTTTTGAGGTCGCTGCACATTTTCCTTTATTGTAAAAGGTTTTCTTATTATTGGTGTTTCCAGAGCTCACTGAATAGCTGTATTTTTAAGCTGTTTTGTAGTTTAGTTTGTTTCAGGGAGCACTGTAATTATATTCGTACAGGTTTTCGAAGTATTATTAAGCCCAAGTTTGTTTTTGCAATCTTATGTTGTTGGTATCAATTTCTAATTTTTTGTAAATTCTAATAAAACTAAGAGTAGGTTTCAGCAAGCATACACACTGTATATGTGCTTTCATTATTAAAGTCATTTTTTTCAAATTTTTTGTTTAAAAGTAATTGGAAGTGTGTTTTAGTGACAGACCCAACAGATTTTTTTTTTCAGTGCTTTAAAACTTCATTCTGTTTGTTTTATTTTATTCTTTTTGTCATAGTTTTGTATTTAAAAACTGTCAATCACTGAATGTTATGCACTGATTGCATAACCCAGTATAATATAGTATTTTTCAGTTTGCTAGTAAGCAGATAAAATATACTGTTAATTAAATAGTTCAGTAAAACATACTAACGGTGAATTTATAAAATAAAACAATTAAATAAATATGTATTACTAAAAATAAAAATAAATTATTATTTAATTAATGTTTAACATACGTACATAACACATATTTGGTGCAGGAAGCAGTTATTACAGGCAGTGTTTGAAAAAAAAAAAAAATCTGCATTAGTTCGCTGCTATGTTTCGTTATTAACCTTATAATATGACTGTACATTTTTTCTGTGGGGGGGGGAGGCATTTCTGTATAGCAGATGAGGATGTCTGAGGACTCATTGCTTTTGAATTTATGAATAATTTTACGTTCTTGTTGTGCTTAATCATTGTAACATGTGTGTAGGCTGTATTTCAGGGAACCCTGTAGTGTTTCGTTGTAATTGTTAGATAGCAAGCCAATGCATTTTCTGTTCTAGTTAAAACTAGCAGGCCAATGCATTTTCTGTTCTAGTTAAAACTCTGCAGGTTTTAAAGAGAGCAGTTTGAAAACTAAAGAAAAGAGCAACAAAGCTATATGCCAGGGTTGGCCAAACTTCCTGTCAGTAAGAGCCGTACGTTTGAGAATTCAGGAATGTTCGAGAGCCGCATCTAGATTTTTCTAAAAGCCACAATTTCTATTTACATCATTATAGAAGTAGTGGAGGAGGTTTGAAATAGAAAGAAACCTCTGATAACTTTGTAAAAAGTGTCTAAACTAATTAATTACTTCCTTTTGGACACTGAATAGTTTTAGTTTACCATATTTCATACATATATTTTATATGCATAATGAGCCACACAAATTGCCTACGAGAGCTGCATCAGGCTCGTAAGCCACACTTTGGCCACCCCTGCTATATGCTATGGTGTAAGGGAAAAAGGCAATACTATTTATGTTCTGTTGTTCTGTTTATGTACTTCAAAAAATATATGAGAAGTTCTTGAAAATAATTCTCCTGAAATATGTATTATTAAAGTACATATTGTTTATTTTTTAAAATTTTCTTTTTGTGAACAATTAAGATTTATATATTTGAGTTAGGAAAAAGTAGTTAGTAATTATGGAAAAAAGTCATTTTTTAAATCATGGAGGTTGGTATGTATATAAAGGATGTTCTGAAGCAAACTGTCTCATTGCATGATCAAGCTGGCTACGTGCACATACAGTGGATGGACAAAAATATGGAAACACCTTGTGAAATGCATGTTTGAAAAGAAAGATTGATTTTAATGAAATATGTAGGTAGTGCTGGCGTTTTTTGACAACGACGCACCTATACAACTTCGTAAATGTGACATCAGTTTGTGTCGGGTACTGTTATGTGAGGTTGTCATTGCATATGTCAGAGTTAAGAGACGTCGACGTGGGCAAATTATTGGAGCAATATGGTAGGTGATTCCGTAAGCAAGGTAGCCGGGTTGTTTAGTGTTCAAGGTACTGTATCGAAGATTTATTCCGCATATTTGAAAAGCGGAAAACATCATCTGCTAAATCACAGCGCGGACGAAAGTGTGTCCTGAGTGGATCGTGACAGACGATCATTAGGGCAATTGTGACGAAAAATAAGAAGACCCAGCTGCAAAAGTTACTGCTGAATGAATGTTGTGTTACCGAACCCTGTGGTACCAAACAATTAGAAGGGAGCTTCATAAACAGGGAATGGGCCGTGCTGTAATTGAGAAGCCACCATCAGTGATGCTAATGCCCGTAACAAGAAAAGGGGTGTTTTAAGTCATAAACCTGGACTATAGAGCAGTGGAAAGCGAGTAATATGGTCTGACGAGTCTTCTTTCACATTGTTTCCCCTCTGGCCGAGTTTACGTCGGAGAACGCCATCTCTCAAGCCCTATAATACAGATGCTTGTTGCCAAGAGTGAAAAGGGCGGGGTTCTGTTATGGTTTGGGCAGCCATATCATGGTTCTCTGCTAGCCCCACGATAACTGTGTCAGGGCGCATGACTGCCAAGACTTATGTGAACATTTTTGCCGATCAAGTTCATCCCATGGTACAAACTTTGTTCCCCGATGGTGATGGTGTCTTCCAAGACGACAAAGCCCCTGTTCACACAGCTGACATTGTCCAGGACTGGTTTTCTGAGCACGAGGATGAGTTTTCCCATCTCCCCTGGCCACCACAGTCACCAGACTTGAATATTATCGAACCTTTGTGGTCTACATTGGAACGGAATGTGCGTTCTCGTTGTCCACCGGCAACATCGTTATCTGAACTTGCCACCGTTTTGCAGGAAGAATGGTATAATATTCCCTTGGCAAACATACAGGAACTGTATTTATCCATTCCAAGAAGACTGCAAGCTGTTTTGGATGCCAACGGGTTTCCTACACCATATTAAGCAAAGAAACATGTTTTTTTAAAGGTGTTTCCATATTTTTGTCCAACCCCTGTAGGTAACTCATTCTTTAGAAGGATATCTAAAAGATTCAAATTATATGAGTTTTTATGTAGAGATTTTTTTAGCAAAGTTGTAATAAGTATACAATTATTAAACAGAATTCTTGATGTTCTTGCTGTAGTTATCTGGCTTCCATAGGCTAGATGTTGATCATTCTGTAAATCTGTGAGCATTAGATATGTATAACCTTGAGTCATTAATTTAAGCATACATTTTTATGAGGGCATATCAATTTCTAAATCTATGATTTTTCATAATTCTTACTATGTTGTTAAATATCTATGACATAAAAAGTGAACTGTATAGGGTGATTAAAAAATATGTAACAAAAATGTAAAGCTTGGTAGAGAGGACTCAAATAAGCAAAAAGGGAACAATTCTTGAGTGCTTCCTTTGAGCAGCTGTTACATTTCTATCTGCAACAATCAGACACGGATTAATCCTTGTTCAAGCTCATCAAACAATTTTGGAGAAGGACTTAAAGCAGCAACCTGTCTCCCAAGGTAGTCCCAAAGATGCTGTATGGGATTCAAGTCTGGTAATTGAGCTGGCCATTCCATCCGCTCCATACCATGACCCTCAAGATATTCTTCAGCAACCCGAGCTCAGTGCAGTTACACATTGTCATCTATCAGAAGAAATCCAGGAACTACTCTTATATGTGCCCTCAGGTCGCCAACTATCTGTCTACATTTTGAATTGTAAGCTTAAAATGTCTCCAAAAACGCGGTTTTCGCACATTCAAAAACCATGTTTTGAAGACACAATTTAAGCTAAAAATCCGAAACAAAAACAAAAAATTTAGATAGCGAAAATGTAAAGTTTCTAACCAAAAATATTTGACAAGAATCCATGTACACAGCAATGCATTTTAACTTAAAAAAAACTACAAATTGCACATTCTAGGCAGGGAAGGAATCTACGAACTACGCACACCTCGCTTCAATAAATTAACATAACAACAATAAATTTCAAAGAATACCATGTACACAGCATTCTGTTTAAACTTAAAAAAAATCTACGAACTGCACAATCCAGGCATTGCGCACAAATCAACCAAATAAACTAAACTAAATTACAAACAATTAAAAAAGAAACAATAACAACAGAAATTCATACTAAACATCGAACATAACATTCTACAAAATAAAAACAGTAAAATAAAATGCACTTACCATAATGTATTCCTGAATAAAATTTCGCCAGTCACACAACGTTTCTGAACAATAGTGCCACGATTTTGCTATATCACATGTCTTTCTGAGATTCAAAATTTCGAAAGTAATTATAAAAACTTCCTCCAAAGTTAACATACTATACGAAAACTACAATCCAAATCTTAAACTCCGTTGACAGGCGCAAACTTTACCAGCAACCATTTGACTGCGAATCCACGCAAGAACTATCAGAAATGCCCTTCTTTGTCTGAGTTCTCATAGCAGCTCCGCATTTTGGACTCCGTTTTAAAAGTCCCGCAGAAATTCCAAAAATACACTTCAATCCTCATAAACACACCCGTGAACAAAAGACTTGTTAAGAACTCCAACATCGTACCTTTTAATGCTAAATTTACTTTCCACAAAATTTAAAATATACGACTGAAATCTTGCCATCGCGTCTATCATTGCAACATAGGCCATTTCAAAACACACACGACACGAACCAACGAGCAATTAAACAATTCCAGCAAAAGATTTTTCAACATCAACAGGGTTGCCGTATAACATGCAACCATGCCAAAAACCAGTACGGAACACATATCGCCACATTTGGTGATATTAGGG